GATCGACAGTTATTTACTAATCTTAGGTAAGTCTGGCACAAAGCTAATATAATAGAATTCCCAACAAAAACAGAACTCATTATATGTTCAATATCCTCCTAAAACGTCTTGCCAATATTTTTCAATGTATTTTTCCTTATCAAGTTATAAGGATACAGAGGGCGTTTATCTACCTTTGGTGGAAATACGCTTGGTGACGTGTTCGGATCGCGTTGTGGTCACCAGAGTAACAGGAGAGAGCTTTTTATAATGCCCATAATGGGGGAAATACAAATAGGAGAATAAATCTTTCTTTCCGAGCACTCTACTGTTTCAACGTAAATACTTTTTAAAATTCTGAGTGCTCTTAAATAGAATCCAATATTTAGATGATGAAGAGAAATGCACTGAAACTACTTTTAAGTATCTTCAATACAGTAATTATTTCCTATTCAACATAAAACAGAAGCCTCACTAAATATTTCAGAATAAAAATGAACTATTCAAGCAAATCCAACGAAACGATTTACATTGCCCTACCTACTAACTCAATCACAACTACAATTGAAAAGAATTTATCTAGGCTTAATATAATATTTGTTAAAAATACTTCTAAAAATAAGAGACTTAATTAATACTAAACAGTCTATCAACTGCAATGATTGCCACAAGTAATACATAGGAGAAACCTCGAGTAATTTAAATAAAATAATATATGAACACAAAATAGATCTTCTATATAACAAATGAGAATGCCACTGTGTCACACTTTTAAACTTTACTCCTAAAGGCCGTAACCCAACATATCATACCATTTTGGAATCAGACCGATTCCGTGAGCAAATTAAAAACATTCCGGTTCGAATTCGGACCCGCAATCCTGAAATTTTTTATTCCAAATTTTTCATTACTGTGATTGTTTTCAGTGATTTTTTACGTGATTTTTTTTTTGCGACGAATTATTTTGTACGATAACAATTTTTATAACTTGGAAATAAATTTGAGAATAATCGAATTTAATTGTGAAATCCAGCGAAAGTCACCCATGAAATAAAAATAATTGTTTGTACGGAAAGTAAGGACCTACGTACATCAAATTGCCTTTAAACTAAGCATCAGTTGAATTATCGTTGAACTTTTAAAAGGTAAACTTAAATATTATGGCATTACTTAAATGCAGCGATCAAATTTCAGCTCTCTTGTTTATAGTTGCCTATCGCATCCATCACTCCCTACGTATTGTGATGAAGTCCCAATCAAGAACCCTCCTCAGGAGCTAGCTTAAATGCCGCTTGATAGGACGACTTTTAAGCTAGTTTACAATATAACAAACTAAATCGATTAGTCGCTCACTGTAATGAGCCTGATCCTAATTTCGATTAAAAAAAAGGCTACTTTAATTAAAAGAGAAATCAATTTATTAAGACGAAAACATTTCACCTTCGCAGGTCTTCTCTCATTACAATGTGGAATACTTAATAATAAAAGTGATGAAAACAAAAACATATAGAAATTGAATGAGATCGGATGCCTGTATGTCCAGAGGCGTCTGTAAAAAAAATTCAGCTTTCCATCAGTGGTTCCTCTGGTGAACAATTTTAACCAACGCCCGCGTTTTTATATCTCCCCCTCTCCTTCCTACACATATATCATTCCATCAACAAAATCATTACTTTAGTCTGATGAAGTCCTTTCCGAAAATGAAATGCATTACACAATTTTTTTTCACTTTGACATTCATTTACCTAATATATATATTAAGAAATGGACAAGGTCCGACAATTTATTTATTAAAGACATTTTTATGTTTAACGTTGTTATTTATAGATACAAGTATTTAAGCAAACGCTCTGTTTATGATAAACAGTATTAAATAACATTTACCGGCCTGAATGTCCGAGAAATTTTCATAGAAAATATTCGTTCTTTGACAGGATTCGAACTTGCATCCTATACGGAACAGTCATTTACGCTGACGTGCCTTACCTCTGGGCCACAAAGAACCTTTCGGTAGACAAGGTCGAATTTACTGCTTATAAACTTCAATCTTCCATGAACCTCGTACATTCATAACTGCTCTGGCAAATCAAATGTAAACAAATGACGTCATATGTTAAGAAATGGACAAGGTCCGACAATTTATTTATTAAAGACATTTTTATATAAGCTATAAACTGTTAAATGCATTAAAAAAATCCATAAGTGCTATTCAATTACATCATTAGCAAACTGAAAAATAAACCTGAAATATTTTGATTTTTTTTAACCTTATGGTGTATATGGTAAAATCGAAGTTTCGGTTTTGCGAGGACCTTCTTCAAGAACTAAACGGTTTAAGGATTTTTCATTGCTTTTGAACAAAAGTTCATAGATTTATGACACAGGAACTTACAAAAATGTCATGACCCTTTATATATATATATATATATATATATATATATATATATATATATATATATAAAAAAGTTGCAAATTAAAAAAATAATAATGTTTTTTATGAAAGTATTTATTTATTTATATATTTGATATTTCAGATTGAACTCAATCTTTCTTCAGAAATAACTGTTTGTTTACAAGTAGCGTCCGTCGCGAGACGCGGACGTCACGTGATATGGAACGCCACTGTGTTCTAATATTCCTAACGTAAATCTAACTGTAATAATATTTTAGATGTTGTTTAAAAAATTTTTTTTAATTTTTTAACTATATCTAAAAAAAAATGTTTAACTATTGAAATATTTATAAAGATTTAAAATACCCAAGTCTTTATTTAACCCTAGTTTATATGTATTTAATTTTAAAATCCAGTATTTTTCTTTTGTTCTGCGTGTGTATGCAGAACTGAAATCGGAATCTATCAATAAACATTTACAGTTTTCTAATGGGTGTCCTGATTGATTAAAGTGTTCAGCTATGGCGGAATAAGGATTGTTTTGACGTATGGTTTTGTTTATGATTGTTGAAGCGAAATCTAAACTTGTTTCCATATTTACCAATATATCCACTATTAGGACATAAGGTGCAGAATAAATAGTAGATTATGTTATGGCTATCACAGGTGAGGTGAGGTGGGTGTATCCTGATATTGGTGTTGGGTACAGAAAATACATTATATATATATATATATATATATATGTATATATATATATATATATATATATATATATATATATATATATATATATATAGGTGTGTCCATAAAGTTCGTGTGCATTTTAAAAATTTTATAACTTTATTTGATTTGCGATAGAAATAATTTGTAAAAAGAGTTAGAAAGAAGTAAATCTATATTTTTTAAGTTTTTATTGAAATTTTATTTAAGTTTCCACATGTCCTCCATCATTAGCAATACAAAAGGTAATACGATTTTGCAGTTCACGGAAAACATTTGCCAACTGATTTACAGTAATGCCTGAAATCACATTAGTTATTTTAGCTTTACTTAAAACTAGGTACATTAAACTTTATAACATTTTTTAAAGTGCACACGAACTTTATGGACACCCTTTGTGTTTATATATATATATATATATATATATATATATATATATATATATATGCAGCAATATATCTTAGCAATTTGGGTAATTATATTTCAAATGTAAATATACGAGTCTAAATGATATTATGTTTATAACGATATCACAAAGTTTGAAAACCTGAAAAACGAACTGTTATAACTCACTTCTAGTGGTTATAATATTGTCTTGCTTAGGCACTCGTCGTGTGGTCACTAGAATTCTCTCCGATAGACTCTAACGGACTGTATTTATGCAGAGTCCCTACTGAGACGAAATATGACACAAGTTCGAGTTTCGTATGGGAAACCAGGGCGCGTACACTCGGGCTAACAGTCAAAATTTACCCAGAATCCGCAGCCGCGAGATTGGGCACTTTATTTTTCTCAGTCAAGTCTCCGTCGGTAGACAGAGCCCCGACTGAGCCGTACTCTGCTCGAAGACAGAGAGCTTGACAATCGCGAGCTAGACAGCGGACTGCCTAACGGAGACGGACTGGTACTTACCGGTCACCCCACTGCGGACGAGATGCGACAAAAGTTTTATGTGGGGACCCCAAGCGATTATACCCAGGCCACTGATCAAAATTTACCCAGCTCCCGCAAAAGAGGGATCGAGTACAGTACTTGTCCTTTTTTCTCAGCCGAGTCTCTATCCGAAGACAGAACCCCGACTGAGTCACCCACCGCGCGAAGACAGTGGTCTTGTCTTGTCGCCATCCTGGGACTGACTGCAATAGACTTCACTGACTCACTTGAAGTTCTTTATTTAAGGCGTCTTGCATAGTTCATTTGTGTTACCACGGTGTCTTATTTACTCCCCAACACGAACATATTAAACGTGTTATATATTAATCGTGTTGTATATAATTTATACAAAGTTTATAATGCCGTTTCCTGCGGTGTTTCTTTTTACCGAATAGTCTGAGTCTGTTCAAACATATTCATAGTAACGTAAGACCGAGAAAAAATTTAAAAAAAAACTAAACTTGAAGAAACATTAAAGATTAAATCCATTCTACACTTATGAACTAAAGATTAATAATAGAATCCCGAATCAGTAAAAACCAAGTCATAATATAACTACATCCCTGTAAAAAAAAAGATAAGTCAACTATTCTTGTTGTCTTTCTTGCAACGTGTGAATATCCTCACAGATATGAAATAGCTGTTATAAAAATATGATTAAGCAAACAAAAATAATTTCCTATTTGAACACATTATTCTATCAAGAACTGCGCAACATAAAACTAACATTAGTCAGAAAGAGATCCACGGACATGTCGTCCACGAACAAAACTATTCGCTTTTTATATAAATAACACAGAAAATCTTACATAAATGAAATTAAAGAAAAAAAAACACTTATTCAACATAAACCGACGCTCCTAACGGTAAACAAGATAGAAAAGTCATTAAAAGTATAATAAAAAGATTTATCCTTTATTGTAAAAGGTTAAAGACATCTGATCTCACCATTATTGGCATAGGGCATCAAAAATACCCCCTTGTTGTTGAATAGGTTTTAGATAGATAGATAGATAGATAGATAGATAGATAGATAGATAGATATGAACAGGTTGGGATAGATACATCTGAACAGGCTGAGATAGATACATATTAATAGGCTGAGATAGATAGATAGATAGATAGATAGATAGATAGATAGATAGATTCATAGATTCTTGGCTATCGTTAGATCCCAAAATATGTTGCCGTCATCGAAAATCAACTGACTGCCAATGTTAACAAACCTCGTGAGGAATTATTTTTTCTTTCCTTGTCTCGTTACTCAAAACCAACCCGAGTCGGAAATCTATTTAACATTCTCAAAGAGAATATTCAATTCGTTCGATCAACTTCAAGGAACGTTTAACAAAGTTAAATCGTTTTCCTCGCTTAAAAAGAAAACGAAAAAGAAAGAAGTCATTTTTTTTCTACATTACTAATCCCGAACCAGGATTGGGAGGAAGAAAAAAAAAAGACTTATTTTCTCTTTATTTTCGCTGCTTGTATAAATAAACCGTTTACAGAAAGGGGAATTTATGAATACGCTTAAGACCTTTGATAGAGCACTCTGATATTGGATATCAGTTATTACGTACACTTGAGTTTCCAACAGACATCGTGATTGGAATAAAAGGGGTGGCGGGATTTTTTTTTTTACTAACTTTCAGTAATGAAACGCTTTGCCCTCTAATGATCGGTACCTAAATTAAATGGTAGAAGGAAATGTTTGGAATATTTAATAAATAGGTGTTTGGAATAAGTATAATACATACGGGAGAATATCCAAAAAAATAATCATCCCAGACCGTCTATTTGAAACCCCTTTTAGTTTCCTATACGCGGGCCGGTTATCATACGAAAATTTGTAGGTGTAATTTGCACCCATCTATCTGCTTTAATAGTCCATCTCCTTTCAGGAATCTGATGATCATAGCTCTCCACAACTTCCTACCTTTTGTTGCTTATAAGTAACTTTTGGCCCTCAACTATCCCTCTTTGTCCTTGATCTTAAAACATGCCATGTAGGTTATTTGTTTCCTTCTGCACTTCTTGATTTCGTCATGCGGGTGTTAAATTCTCTAGGCCTTCTTTCCTTATGCTAGTAATTTTATCTGTCTCTCTGAATATTAGCAGCAGTTGTTTTACATTTTCCTCGTTGCTCACATATTCTGTCCATGCTTTTTTCAACATCCGTCGTTATGACCACGTCTATTGCTTCAAGTTTCTTCAACTGTGAGGAGACTGTCCAGGATCAATTGCCATATAGCACTGTTTTCTTTGTTTCTAAAGATATTTTCCCATCTCTTATTGCATCGCTTAGTTTCGCGAAAACATCTTTCACTGTTCAGATTTATGTCACATTATTTCATAAATTGCCAGTTGCTTAAATTTCTGTTCTGGCTAATTTGTTTACGTTTCAGGTATGTCGAACCCACCTCTGGTTGTTTCATTTTCTTACAACCATACCTTCTACTTATTACTGCTAATAGTTTACTCTTTGTTTTCGCTTCCCTTGGCGAAAAGACGACCTTTTCTATGGTGCAAAATTCGTTCAGAAATATCTAAACTGTCAGTTGTATAAAACTGTTTTTTTTTTTTCAGATTAATGATAAAATGGTTTCCAGTTAATGAGTCCTGTAAGTCTTAAAGAAGACAATCCTTCTTCGAACATCCTAGACTGTTACTAAAGAATCACAGACAAATAACTGCATAAGTTAGCAGAAACCACATCACCGGGAGACTTCCAATAGCAGCGACAATTAAAACGGGTAGCACATGTAAATGAAATAGAAAATAATGACATAATAATTAATAATTATAACACGTGTAACTTGAAGAGAAAATAATGACATAATAATTAAATATTTATAATAAATGTAATTTGAATAGAAAATAATGACATAATAATTAAATATTTATAATAAAACAAAGGTTAGAATAGAAAAATGACATAATAATAAATATTTATAATGAAAGTAACTTGAAGAGAAAATAAAAATAATTAAATATTTTTTTTAAATTAATTTGAATAGAAAAATAAGGACATAATAATTAAATATTTAGAACACACTGAGTACGAGTGAGAAAATAATGACATAATAATTAAATATTTATAATAAATGTAATTTGAATAGGTTAAGAATGACATAATATCCTCTTATTTATAACACATGTAACTTGAAGAGAAAATAATGACAATAATTAAATATTTATAATAAATGTAATTTGAATAGAAAATAATGACATAACATGTTGACATTCTACACTACTTAAAACAAAGGTTAGAAAGAAAACCAAAGAATAAGTTCAAAGAGAATGAAAGCCATGGAACTTGAGAAAATTTTGAGAGGGCTTTTTTTTTTACGTTATTTTCCTGAAAAAGGTTAGAGCCACTTTTTAGAGGGTTAACTGAAAGTAGATGACAGATTAATAAATCTGTGGGGGGCTTAAAACAAACTAATATTAACTAGATTTGAACGGTTAAGATTGTAATGATCGCAAACATCCCCCAAAACGCAGTCGGTTCCACGGAGTATCTGGTTCGCCGGAATGAAGCAGCTTATGTACATTTATCAATTGAATATTGTGTGAATGTGAGTCGATTCATAATGTTACAAGTTTGGCGGCTGTTAACCGTGAAGCTTAGAACAGGTGGACCAAAGAACGTAGTTCATCTGAGAACTTTCCATGGAAATAGCGATAAAGTACTGAGAGGCTTGTGACGTTACTTTTCCTGAAAAATTGTTAGAAGAGAACGACTTTTTTAATAAATTTTAACCGAAAGTAGATGAATCAAACAATGCTTTGGGTCCTTAAACAAATCTAACCAACATATTTATCCACGGTGCCATGGATAGATCCAGTAACAGGACCCAAAAACGTTTATTCAATACCCGGTTAAGGCAGTGGAGAACTTGAGAGGGGAATTAACAGGAGATAATTTACATCCATTAAAACATTGGCACATCTTTGTCGCCATACCAGTGAGCAAATTTCGGGTTCAGTTGACATTCCAACCACTTCAAGAAGGTTGGAATGTCGAACGGCCGAAACGTTGTGCTAAATATGGCGACAAAGATTCCAGGACAATAGTCCGAATAATGTAAATAAGGTTACGGGGTGTGGAGGAATTAGGAACAGAAACATTAATGATGAGCAGAAAAAGAAAAGAGTAATCAGTCGGTAGATAGAGATTGACATTGCATTTAAATTTTTACAGAATAAAATTGGCTTGAAAATATGGCGCTTGCGAGGAAAAAGTGTTAGCATAGAATTTACGGCTACATCTAGCCAGCTCAATTGTAAATTGATGAGATCTCGATTCGAGTCTAGTACTGCGCTTAAATTCCTAAAGTCTAGGTACCATAACGAAGAGTTCATCCGAACAATTACCATGAAAGTATTTATAAAAAATAAAGGCACAGAGACGCAATCCTACCGTAGTGGTTAAGTGACTGAAATCGAGCCACCAGCTCAAGACCAATAATATTTCTGATTCTTCTTTGGAACTTATCAAGGATCTCAAGGCAAATAGCAAGGGCACCGGACCATATGTGCTCAGAAATATTCTAAACATGGTGGAATGATAGACTTATAGCTATGTAAGATAGAATCTAATTTTAAATTTAAGTGAACTGCTACATGATATATGCCCTTATGTATGGCAGCGAATGCTGGACAATCTCCTCAAAGATGAAGAAGAGACTTGAAGCAACGGAAATGTGGTTCTACAGAAAGATGCTGAGGACACCATGGACTGAACATGTGAGCATCGACGAGGTTTTGGAGAAAATGGAAACAAAAAGTAAACTTATACATATCCTCAGAAGAGGCAGTTGAAATGTTTGTGGCACGTAATGAGGAAGGAAGGCTTGGAAAATCTGATACTCACAGGACAGATGGAGGGAAAGAGCCTAACATATTTGGATACCATTTGGTGGAATAGGGTTTGGGAGAAGTAACAAAAAGACAATATTTATTAAGAGCCACAAGGGACAGGAAGATGTGGAGAGCTATGATCGCCTACGTCCTGAAGCCTACGTTCTAAAGTAAATCCGATCCTGACGTGACTATTAAATAACTTTCAATAAACATCTATGTATCATTCGCGACTGACAAATACCTGGTTTGGTTTCCAGGCTCGCGTTTATCCCACTCAGAGTGGTCGACCTTAAGCCTTTGACAAGACATCTGTCTAGAAGAAACAAAAGTCTTATATAACACCCGCCTCAATTCTAATCCAGATATCTCGTATCTACTCGTACCAGGGATTCTGAACATTGTTGGGCTGAGTCGTTCTGTTGTTGTGCAAGCCGTAGAAGACTATAATCTCATTGCTGGCATCGTAACATCTATTTTTGGATTCACTGGTGGCGTATTTTTTTATCAGCTCGGAACGCGAAATCAATGAACCGAGTTCGAATTCCAGTTGTTGGTTATATTCATTTTTGCGAAAATACCACTGGGAAAGCTATAAATATATTCGCTATCCTCCAGCTATGGATTAAATAGTAGTGCAGACTGGGATCTTCAGGTTTTATTGGAAACCGTTTCAGAGAAGGAAAACTGAATTTCCAAATGAAAAACTTATCAGCGATGGTCATACTCGCGTAGGTATGCAAATGGAATGTATGAAAAATGCCAGCGCACGAGCCTAAATTGAGATATAAGGATTGCATCAAGAACACACAGATAAAAAAGCTAACTGCACGCTAGATGAACGCCGTCAGTCAACCAGCTCCGACGTCGTAGGTAGCACACGCTGTACGGGCCGCGGTTACCTCCCTCGACATTGTGGTGGTCACCGGGTGCCAGCCTGTCGCATTTTGCGTCGTGGGCGTTCTAACCGATGATGCCAACAGTTCACCGACCCCCGCCGCCGAGACAAAGTGAGAAGGACACGCTGTCTGGGGCGGATCCCAGGCGGTGGTTCGCGACCTTCTTACCCCTGACACACATCTTTAAACCGCACCCAAAAATATTTAAAAATAAAAATAAAAACACGCAAATCCATGGACGGGGATCACTCGACTCGTCCGTCGATAAAGAAAGTATCCAGCCGCGAGAACTGATGCAAACTGCACGACTCATTGAACATCGACACCACAAATTGACTGAGAAAATGTTGTAGAACAGGCATGGGCAACCCTTTTTGCGAGCAGTGGGCCGC